TTAACTTGGTTAGTGTTCCTTGCAGGAGCCATAGAGAAATGCTGGCATAAAGTCCTTTCTGCCAGAGATTTGCTAGGCTACAGGAAATTTGGAGGACCACAATGAAGTCTGTGGCTTAGTCCTGCTGCGGTGAAAGGCCTGGAGCAGATCAGGGTGCCTGGTTAGCAGTCAGGGCTGGGTCTCTGGAGCATAGGCCTCGCCAGGCCTCTTGAACTGAAGCGGAGGACCAGGCACAGCTCTCTGGAGCCCGCGCCTCCTCCCCCGTGTGCTGGAGCGCCGCCGGTTCCTCTTCCTCTGGATGGTGGTGCTGGAATGTGCGATTTGGCGGAGGTGACATCTTCATTTTAAATTATGAAATAATTTAGGCCTACAGAAAGTACAGAAACAAATATAGTAGGCACTTGTGTTACTACACCAAGATTATAGGTGGTGTTAATATTTTGCTATATTTGCTTCATTTCTCTTTTTTTAAAGGGAAAAAATGCAAGGCTGCAGGTCCACCCCATCTTTTCCCCTCTCCCCGCCTTAGAGAGTGTCATCATGTATTTCCTTTTCAATGCGTATGTTGGTACTTTTGCTATATATGTGTATTCGTAAACAATATATACTCTATTATGTATTAAAAATTTATACAAATGGTATCACACACTGCATTAACGTTTTGTTGCTTTCTTTTTAAATTCCACATTATAATTTTTTAGATTTGAACTATTTCGATATGTGGGTCTTACTACGCCTTTTTAAATACTGTGTAGCATTCCACTGTATGACTGGAGGAAACACCTCCTGTGTTCGAGTTTGGTTGTATCCTCTGTCTGGCTCTGGTCAGCAGTGTTGCATCGAGCATCATCCTTCCTGGGACACATGAGTGTTTCATTGGCATGTATTTATTTACATGGAAATTGCTAGGCCTCAAGGCAGTGCACTTTAAACTCAGTGGGGAAACTGCTTTCTAAAAAATTCTTCAGAAATAAAAAGGGGAAGATAAACCTTGATCATTTCTTCAATTTTGAAGTCTGAGCATAAGGTTCAGGGTTAGGTGAAGTGAAAACAGAGCCTGGAATTCTGCACATTTAACATGATACAGAGGCATGAAGGTTAATACTCAAACCCTTTGTCAGAGTAGTTTCTAAAATAAATATTAAAATAAATGAATCATTTTGAGCTATACTTTTCCTCTCCAGCGTTTGAAAGCATTCCGATTTCTTCGAACATTAGAATAAATTTTCTGCTACTGTGTGTGCTCACGCTCTACTTTAAGATCCTGCTTGTTTAGAAACGAGTGAAATAAATTCTTGTTTTTAAATAACAAACAGAAAAGCTATCATCCCAGGAATTTTCTGGAGGTTTCCATTTAGTATAGCTGAGAGCTGTTCTTTTTATTTAAACCATGCTGAAGATTCAGGGCATTTGATGGACAGTCGTGACTCAGAGGGTTAGCGGTTAATAGCCGAGGGCCCTGTGCTGTAGGGTGAGGCTCAGTGTTTTCAGCTGTTGGATGAACCTGGACGTATGTGTGTCAGATTTGGGTGGTACACGTGATTTCAGTTTTATAACGTGTTCTTTCATTACTTTAAAATTTTTATAATTAGTAACCCTTTGAACGACATTCATTCATTAATTCAGCATTTACTGGTTGGCAGACCCTCTTCCAGGAAGCATACCAGGAGTGTGGGAGCTTATATCCTACATGAGGACATGCAGGGAATGCATGAACCCAAAACTATGGAGTTAACTGACCAAATCCAATCCCCTCCCCTCCCCTACTCTCCCCTGC